TTTCCTGTTCGTTTGCCTTTTCTCTTTTTCTCTTTTCTTTTTGTTTTTTTCTTTTCTTTTCTTTTCTTTTTCTTTTTCTTTTTCTTTTTCCCCCCTTTTTCTTTTCTTTTCTTTTTTCTTTTCTTTCCTCTTTCTCTTTTTCTCTTTCTCTTCTCTTTTTTTTTTTTCTTTTTCCCCGAGCAGGAGCCTGGGGAGCCCATCCCGGCCCCCCAGACTCCCCCACAAAAACGCAGCTCGGGGGCACCGGCCTTCTGCAGCATCGGCTGGGGGCTGTGACCTCACAGAGACATCCCCAGCTGCTGGCAGTGACCTCAGGGCCGTGTCCCTATAAAGCTGCGGCCAGCACCCCACGCCTGCCAGTGCGGTCGTACCTGGCTGTGAGCGATGGTTGACGACAGCAGCGTTTTCCTTGTCCCCGGCCTCCTGCTCCTGGTGGCCGGGGTCTCCCTGCTCGCCACGGGCCGGCGCCAACAGGTACAGGGGGCTTGAGGGTGGGGGGCCACGAGGCTGGCATGCCGGTGGGGGGCCGGGAGCTGTCTGCAGCGGCCCCACGGGTCCCTGCCCAGGTTGCTCACTGTGCTGTGCTCCTGTGCCCACAGGGTGACGGCCTGCGCCGGCGAAAGTGGAGATGGCGGCGGCGAGCAAGAGCACCACAGCCTGGTGAGTCCCCTTTGGAGGAGCGAGCACCCATCCCGCCGGGCCCCAGGTGGCCCCGCTGCCTCCGTGCCAGCGCAGCTCACACTCCCTCCCTGTTTTGCAGGCACCAAGCAGCTGTGGGGGGCGCGGCGCTGCAGCCCTGGCAGTGTGGAGTGCCTCGAGCTGCTGGAGCCGGACAGCCTGTCCTGCTGGGGCTACGGCATCCCCAGGAGCAAGAGCTGCCCTGCGATCTGGACCAACGCCTCTCTGGAGCACCACGGAGGAGCCCCCACAGAGCCCGCGGCCCCGTGCCACCCAGCGCCCAGGCAGGAGGCACATCCCACTGACAGCCCTGCAGAAGACCAACCTCTGGCCTCTGCCCTGAGCGGAACCAGCAGTGCAGAGGAGGCTGACAGGCACCCTCGCAAGAGGCAGTGCCTGCAGAGTCTGACAGCCCCCGGAGCCCCCAGGCTTGGGAAGCAGGGCAGCGGAGCTCAAGAGCCACCGGCTGAGGTCTCCTCCTCCATCCAGCCACCAGACATGGGGGTCATCGTGCGTGAGAGTCTCCTTCACCCAGATGAGGTGCGACAGCACTGGGTGGAGTTGTCCCAGCGACCTCCTGGCTTCTCCGAGGACCTCCCAGCACCTCCGAGCCCAACGACCACCGTGCTACGGAAAGACCAGGCCTGCCAAACCGACTTTGTCGTCATCCTGAGACCACTGGCGGCTGAGGACGGCCATGGGAACCAGCCCCAAACTGCAGCGCCTGTCGACATCTCAGAGCTGCAGCCGAGGCCTGAGCAGTGCAGCAAGGCCTGCATGGAGACAGCAAGCGAAATAAAATGGGAAAGCTCCTCTGGGCCAGTGCCGCAGTCACCTGAAGGGGAGCAGGAAGCACTGCCCCAGAGCGCCAGTTCTGGCTCCCTGCCACCGCAGCGTCCCTCTGTCCCCTTCCTCAGACCCAAGCCTCTCCTCCATGCGGACCAGGTCAAGAGGAAGAGCAAGAAGCACGGGGCCTCCGTTGTCTGCCCGGCAGCACCACGCTCCCGCCCGGAGCCTGTCCATTTCCACGGGCCCGAGGCCACGTTCGTGCACAAGGAGCTGCAGCACCGCAGGGACCAGCTCAGCGCGGAGCACCCATCGCAGCAAGCAGTGCCCTGGCAGGAGGGTGGCTGGGCAGCCCCAAGGGCTCACACGCACTGCACCAGGAACTCTGGCCACAGGATGGACACGGCTCCCTTGGGAGAAATTGTGAGGACGCCCTTTGGGCTGCCGTATGGCTGGGCGGGACCAGAGCCCACCGTACTCTACCCACCCCTCAGGCCCGTGCTCCTAGCTCCAAGCCCGAGGGCTGAGCACCACCACAAACAGCGCAGACACTTGGTGGGACCGGCAGCAGGAGCCCCGCACGGCCACTGGGGCAGCAGCACCGCGCAGCAGTGTTCCGACAGCAGCTTCCACCTGCGGGCTGCGGCTGTCCCTCAGAAAGGAAACACCAGCGCGGAGGTGACCACGGCGTCTGAAACCGCTGGGGCTGAGGCAGGAAGCTGGAGACCGAAGTGGTGGCCTTGGAGGAAGAAGAGCCCTGGCAAGGTCGAGAGCTCCCCACGTTACGGGGCCCAGAGTAGCGACAGCCAAGACCAGTGGACGACGGGCAGCAACCTCCCACGGGGAAATGCCCGGGCCAGGCCAGCTCCCGGCTCAGCCTCCACAAGAGCCCAGGAGCCCTACAACTACTCGAGCTCCTCTTCAGAGCCCTGCAGTGCCCCTACCACCAGATACCCGTGCTCATGCCACTTGCACCACACCTGTGGCACCCAGGGCACTGCAGCGCAACCGAGCGGCAACAGCACCCGCTCCTTCTGGGACAGGATTTGCCATCAGCAGCAGAAGGCGTCTGCATCACCACAGAGCTCTACATCCGAGCACTACTGCCATACAGGTCACAGCAGAGGCAGGGCCAGCGCCCATGGAGCTTGTGATTCTCACAAGTTCCAATACTGGAAATAAATCCAATTCTTTGCACTCAGGTGTGTTTTCTGGGAGCCTTCCCGCATCGTGTGTGTTGGGGATGAAGAGGGGAGGTGGGCTGAGGGAGACCAGGCAAGGTGTGCTGTCCCACCAGAGGACAACTGGCTTGGATGGGGAAGGGAATAAAACAGGGCTCAGCAGAGGAGAGCCTCGGGGAACAGAGCTGAAGCTGGGGGTGAGGCAGATGTCTCAGCTGAAGGGCATCTGCACCTCTGCACAGGAGCCGTGCAGGCAGCAGCTGGCCGTCCAGCTCGGGTCACAGTTCGCCCCTGTGCCACAGCAGAGCTGCCTCCACCTCGCAGCATCCCTGCTCTGCGACCGGCCGCTCGCCTGGGCTCAACAAGACGCCAGTGCTCCTCGCTCCGAGAGGGGCCTCCTGTCTTCCCATCTCCAAGACAGAGTGAGAGATATCCAAGGTAGCGATAGAACTCAAGAGGTGTTATAGATTAATATATCCTTATTAATAACATATTAATAACTCCATATATAACAACACAGTCACAGCGCCCTTTCACAAGCCAGGTGGTTGTGGTGAGAGCTCTGCCGTCACTGGCACCAGAAGCAATGAAGAGTTCCTTCTGTTATATATGGAGTGGAAATTCGTTGTCGAGAAGATGGTTGCTATTAATAAAAAGCGGGGAGATGTGGGAGTGTGGCCATGGGGGTCGGCAAGCTCCGTGGTTGATGGTAACATCAGACTCTTAACGATGAGGCCATTAGGAATGTAAAGAGTTTAGAGGGAACAAAGAAGGGTGATTCAGGAGACTGACTAATGAAAAGTTGTTTTGAAAAGAACTGCTGTGGAGAGAAGGGTATAAGAGGGGAGCCTGCCCTCAAGATAAAAAAAAGGCAACACGATGTGATGAAGTTATGTCGTCAATAAAGAAGCAGAGAGAAGGAATGAAAAGGAGCAGGCTGGCAGAACGGAGACCAGGACGGGAACAGGCACTTTGATTGCCTCATGAAGAGAGGTTCGGCCAAACTCAGCAAACTGCTCAGAGAAGCTCGTACAGAAAGTCGCTGGAAATGGGCACACTGGAGCTGGAGAGAAGCTCGAGCTGAGAGAAGCGGGCCCGGCACACAAGTGCCCCTCGCTGGTCAGCAGCTGCACATTGTGGGGAATCTGTCCTTAGGAACAGAGACTGTCCTGGGAACCTTACAGCTCATTCTCCTTATTAACAATCAGTTTATGATCCTGAAATATGGAACCAAACTGAGGCCAAGGTGTGGGACTCTGCAACTAAAAACGACAAGGTTGCGGTGGGATTGCTCGGCACCTGGCGAGCAGCCTCTGAGGCCTTAAAGAGCCATGTGGGACCACAGTCAGAAACGTGGGGTTTGCCAGACACTGAGGGAGCTGCAGGCTCCTTTACTGATCCGACTGCTACGCCATGGGCCCCTCTGCTGCTACAGATGCCTCCTGGTGACCTAGACGTGCCTTTTGACCCAGGCCTATTGGCCTTGAAAAGGAGCTGGATATGCTTTTCTTCAATCTGGGAAGAACGGGATACATAGGGCCTGAAGACCGAGTTGCTTGACAACTTAAAGCGAGACATTCAAAAGGAATGGAAAATGGAGAGTGTTTAGTCATGGAACTTAAAGTATTGTTTGTTACCTTTCCTGATTGTACGTATGTATAGGCATACTCGGGTTTAGTATGTAAAGCAATGTTCTGTATATTTAGCATGTTTGATGTTCGTGTGTGCGTGTTGGTGGAGCGTAGACTCCCCACACACCCAGCACTGTTTACTTGCCTTTTATACCTTTTATAGCTTTTATACCTCTTATAAGTATAAATATTACAAAATTTGGATTGAGTTGAGACTTCATTTATAACAAGGGGGATAGCTAGGAGAAACAGGGCGAGCCGTGCAATATCAGTAAAAACAAAAATCATGGGACCTGTAGTCATGAGAAAAAAAAAAAAAAAAAGATAATCAGTTGGTGAAGAGGAATTGGAGGTGTGTGGTTTCGAAAGGCGTGGAGCAGTTCGTGAGCCTGTAGCACTGAGGCAGCGGCAGGAATCAGGTGCTGGGCAGTAGGAATGGGGTGATGACAACTGTTACTGCGCACTGCTGCCTGCAGGACGCCCGCCATGGCAGTCACATATTAAACAGCTTCACAGGAGCTGCTGCCGGAGGAGATCTGAGAGATTTTCCCCACAGCAGCGCTCCCCAAGCCCGTGTCCCTGCGGGCACCCCCCGCCCCCTGCTCGCCCCTGACGGGTGGCGCCGCCATTTTGTCCCCCCCCTCCTCCTGCTCCCCCCTCAGTGCCTCTCCTCCCGCGCCTGTGACGTCACCCCGCCCCGCCCCCACGGAGACCACAGGGCGAGGGGCGTGGCCTGTGCGTGACCCCGCCCCCTTCCCGCCGTGCGCATGCGCCCGCTCGGGGCCGCCGCCATTTTGTGCTGAGGGCGGGCGGAGGCGGCCGCAGGTGAGGGCGGCGGGGCCGGGGCCGGGGCCGGGGCCGGGGCCGGGGCCGGGGCCGGGGCCGGGCGGGCCGGGGCCGGGGCCGGGGCCGGGGCCGGGCCGGGGCCGGGCCGGGGCCGGGCCGGGGCCGGGGCCGGGCCGGGGCCGGGGGCCGGGGCCGGGGCCGGGGCCGGGGCCGGGGCCGGGGCCGGGCGGGCCGGGGCCGGGGCCGGGGCCGGGGCCGGGGCCGGGGCCGGGGCCGGGCCGGGCCGGGGCCGGGCCGGGGCCGGGGCCGGGCCGGGGCCGGGGCCGGGGCCGGGGCCGGGGCCGGGCCGGGGCCGGGGCCGGGCCGGGGCCGGGGCCGGGCGGGCGCTGTGTGCGGGGTTTTTTTGCGTTTTTTTTTTTTTTTTGCGTATTTTTTGCCCATCCTCACGGGTTTGTGGAGCTGCTGCTCGCGGTCGCGGGCTGCAGGCGGCTGGCAGGGTGTCTGCATGGCTGTGGGTGCCGCTGCGCTTCTTGTTGTGGCCTGGATGGGGAGCTCGCACACACGGGTTTTGTGAGCCGTGCTTAGAGGGGCTGACGGATCCCTTCTCCTTTTCAGAGCTGCAGGATGGAAAACTATAAGAAGACCAAAATCGTGGAGAAGCCGTGTCCGCTGCCTTTCGCTGACCTGCCCCCTGACATTATTGAGATGAAAGTGAAGGACGGGAGCAAAATAAGGAACCTGATGGGGTACGCCATTGGCAAGATGGAGCTGGACTCCGTGAGGCAGATCCTCTTCACTGGCTCAGGCAAGGCCGTTAGCAAGACCATTACGTGTGTGGAAATCATGAAACGGAGGCTGAAGGAACTCCACCAGATCACCAAAGTGCTTTTTAAGCAGATCGAGGAGATCTGGGAACCCATTGTGCCTGAGGCAGGCCTGGATGCCCTGACGGTGAAGAGAAACATTCCTGCCATATGCGTCCTGCTCAGCAAAGACGCCCTCGATCCCCAGGAGCCTGGCTATCAGGCTCCAGGTTCTTTCGATGCCTTCTGGATCGAGACGCTTAAAGCTGAGTCCCAGGCCCAGATGAAGAGGAAGCAGGGTGGAGGAAGGGGAGCTGGCAGCACAGGAAAGCAGCCTCGCGCCACTGGAGGGCATGGGGAGCCCGGCGTGAAGTCCTGAGACAGACACACGTGGGTGGTTTGGGGGATTACGGAGCCAAACCAGCTGGAAAGCTGGAAAACTGCTGCTGAACACAGGGCCTTGCAGAGCTGCTAGGGGAGGGCAGGAGCAGTTCCTGCCCCAAACGGACGTAACATTGTGCTGCGACGAGCTCCGGTGTCAGCGGCACCAGGCTGCACCGCACAGCCTGCGGCTCAGGGGTGAGACAGGAAGGCAGGAGGCTGCTCTGGGAGCGAGGAGCGCTGGCGTCTCTCTGAGCCCAGGCGAGCGGCCGGTCGCCGAGCGGGGATGCTGCGAGGTGGAGGCGGCTGTGCTGTGGCATGGGGGCGAGCTGTGACCCGAGCTGTGCCTGGCAGGCCCTGCTCTGCCCATCGCAGTGGGGACACCGCGTGCGGGTCACCCCTTTCTGCCCCCCTCCCACCTCCCTGCAGTGCCGTGGGGGTGGGCGCAGGTCCCAGCAGGCACAAAGCCCTTGAGGCTGGGGCAGCGCTCAGAGTACACCCCGAACAACACTCATATCCCCTCTCTGCACCTTCCTGCTGCGTTGTGCCGGGTTTCAATAAAGTTTCTTTTTCTCACTGCACTTTTTCCTCTCTTCCTTCCTTTCTCCCCCCCCCCTCCCCCCCCCTCTCCGGGGACCCCTCTTGGCGCTGTGTCCGTGCGCGCCCTGCACGCGGCAGCAGCGGGGCGGGGGGCGTGGCCTGAGGGCGGGGTGGGCGTGGCCACCCACAGGGGGCGTGGCCAAGGGCGGGCGCGCCGGCGGGAACCGCCCCCGGTGGTGGCGGGAGGCAGCGGCACCGCGCGGGGCTGCGGCAGCTCCGGGCGGCCCCGCGCCGCCACCGCCACCCCTCGGACCCGCGACCCCCGGGACCCCCGCACCCGGACACCCCCGGGACCCCCCGGGCTCCCGAGCCGGCAGCGCCGCCCGCGGGGTCCCGGCGGTTCTCGGAGGCAGGTAACGCCGCGGCCCCGGGACGGGAGGGAGGCTCCGGAGGGACCTGTTGCTGCCGCACGGGGCTCCGAGGCTCCGGGATCCGCGCTGGGGGGTGCGGGGACCCCCCTCTCATCCTCCCTTCTCCGCGGTGTTGGGGCATGGGGGGGCCTCGCCGCGTTTTGGGGGGGAGCAGCGCACGGAGAGCGGCCGGCGGCCGGCATCGGGGATGGGGCTGCCCCGGGAGGGAGGCTGGGGACGGGATTTGGGGCCCCCGGGACACCTCCGGCTCCGTGCCCCCAGCCCCGGCCTGGGATGGAGGGAGGCAGCCGGGGAGCGCACGCGGAGGCTGCACGGAGCCCCCCAGACAGCAGCCGCCGGCCCCCCGAGCCTCCTCGGGGCTTTGCAGGAGGCTCCCACCTCCCCCGGGGGGCTCGGGCACCCCGGTGCCGGCGGTGACGGTGACTTTCTCCCTTCCAGGTCCCGGAGGGAGCAGACGCATCCCCGCCGCGCTGCCGGAGGAGTGGAAGCTTTGGGAAAGCTCCGAGCCGAGGTCACAGCTCCCGGAGGCCCGGCTGTACCGGGGGTCCTGCCACCCACCCTCCTGCCGTCCCGCTGCCCGCACCGCAGCCGTCCCGTCCCCGCTGTCCCCCGCCAATGCCCCCGGGTGCAGGCTGTGCCGGCGTCCCAAGCGCGGGGCCGAGCCGGGGGTCCCGCTCCTCCCCACGGGGCAGCGGCGATGGGGGCGGCTCTCTCCACCGGAGCAGTTGTTGCGATTTCTTTCAACTGCATCATCGCCTTGCTCATCCTCATCCTCTTCCTCATCCTCTGCAAGGCCTGCAGGACCCCGTCGTGCCCCAAGAAGGGTCCCCCCTCCGACGCGGATGAGGCGAGGAACGAGGAGAAGTACCTGCTGCAGCCCTGAGCCGCGCGGGGGGCTCGGGGACGTGGGCACCCGGCGGTGCTGAAGGACCTGGACGTGGTGTCCGTAGCGGGACGGTGGTGCTGGCCCGGCAGGATGGGAGCGGAGGGGACGCTGAGCTGCTCGCAGGGGCGTGATTTGGGGCAGAGCCCTTCACCCCCGTGGTCCTGGCGCGTGGACGCCCTGCGGGTGCCCGTGGTGACCGCGAGGACGGAGGCGCAGCGGCTGGGGACGTGCTGCGGGGACATGCACAGCCAGCAAGCGTGGCGGGAGCCGTGCCCTCGAGCTCAGCCCGTGTTCGGGGCCGGCCCGCGGGCTCCTGCGTGGTGCTGGTGGCCCGGCTTTGGGGATACGCTCTGCCCTTCCCCTGGGGACAGCGGCAGGCGGAGATTCGGCCACCTCGCGGCATCGCAGACCTGAGCAGGGCTGGATGGGGGCTCGGAGAGAGGAGGCGATGGGGCTGGCACCTGCCCTGCACCTGCCCAAACGCTGGCTGGGGCAGGCAGCCCGTGGGCAGGGGACCTGTCCCCGTGGTGCTGTCCCCCGTGGGAGCACCTCCCCGTGCCCCGCTGCTGCCTGCCCGAGCCCCTGCAGAGAGCTGGGGATGTTTCAGAGCTGGAGTGCCCGGCTGAACGGCACCGCAGGGTCTTCCAGCCCTGATTCCTGGGGACAGGAGGTTGGCCTGGCCCCCCTCTCCAAGGCCATGGTGGCTCTAAAGCGAGGGACACTTGGTCTGGTTTGTCCCCAAGCCTGACGGCCGCTTCCTCTGTCCTGCCTGTGAGTTTTGGAGCGGCTCCTACAGTGGAGCAGTGGCCAGAGCGGGGACCCCGGGGTGCCTGGTCCCTGCTGGCACAGCCGCTGCAATACGGGGCTGGAGAGGTGGGCTGTGCCAGGGGGATGCAAGCCGGGGTCCCCGCACAGGCTTGGCCAGGCCTGGCGAAGCCCCTGGTTCCTTCCCGTGTCAGGTGTAGCTAACATCCCTTTGCAGTCGTGTTTTTACTAGACTAATAAACCAGCCGTAGGACCCAGGAGGCGTCTGTGAGCTCTGCCCTGCGCCCGCTGCAGCACGGGGACCACCAGGGACGTCACGGGGAGGCCTCGTGTCCTGCCCACAGCTCTGTGTGGGTGTCCCGGGACCAGTGACCGGGCACTTCGCTGTGTGGCTGTGACGAGGACAGGCTCTTCCTGCACCCTTTCTGTGGCCTTAAAATGCATGGTGACAAACCTGGCCGGGCTGGGGGCACGTGGCTGCCAGCAGCGAGCAGCCCCAGCCCTGGTGCTGGTGGCAGAGGAGTTTCCAACCCGTGTCCTCACGTCACGGGGTGCAGGATGCTGGCAGGGGCCGCTGGCCAGCCGAGGGGACGGGGACACCCGCTGCTGCCCGCATGCCGCCGGTCCCCGCTCCCGGTGTCTGTGCGCAAGGCTCCCGCGGTGACAGCCCTGTCCCTGCTCATCAGCATGCAGCGAGGCCACCGCGGCTCCTGCTGCCACCACAGCCACGTAGCAGCTTAATCCCTCTGCCGCAACGTGCCGGAGCGCTGGGAGGGCTCTGCAAAGCCCGGCCGTGCCCGTGGTCGTCGGGGAGCCGGCTCCTCGGAGCAGCCACTGCGATGCCCCGGCCCCAGTGATGGCACATCCCTCTGCCACCGCAGGGTGAGGTCTCCAGACACCTGCTGGCCACCCCAAAATAGTGGGACCCATTAAAAATAAATAAATTCAAGGTTTTACCGGGGCTGGAGGCACCTCTCCTGCCTCCGTGGGGCTCTCAGTGGGTGCAAGCATGGACACGGATGGGAAAAAATCGAGCGCGGCTCCGGGGACCCGAGCACAGCGAGGGGCTGCTGTCCCCAGGGACAACGGCACGCTGCCGGCCTTTCAGCAGCTCTCTTTATTTGTCTGGGCACAGAGACCGAGTGCTCGGGCTCTGCAAAGAGCAGGCGGAGCGGGGCCCACGGCTCGCATGCCAAGCAGCCGCTGCTCAAAGCCGGGTTTGTTCGCCGGCCCTGGTGCCCGGCATGGCCGTGGCTCTCAGCGCTCACTTCCCCGCCGTGCCCTCCGGCTCCCTCACCAGGTTCAGCAGCTTGTCCAGCTTCGCGATTTCCACCTCCGGGCCCTTCTTCACCACCTGGCCTTTCTTCTCCTGCAGGCAGAGGAAGGAGAGGAAGAGCTGTGAGAGACCCTACCCCAGAGGAGACGTGAGGCCAGCTCCTCACTGAGCCTCCCACGGGATGGCGCGTCCCTGTTGTGCTCAGAGGTGACAAAAACGTCCCTAAAACTCCGAGCCGTTTCAGCCCTTGCAGCACGCAGCCGGGCGAGCTGTGGCACCACGAAGCTCTCCTCGCCGCATCTGCCCTCAGCCGCCCTCAGTTCTCAGCCGCCCCCTTGGCCAGCCCTCGGGCTCTCGCCTTGGGTTTGGGGTCCCTGCTCCGGGGATGTGGAGCTCGTCTGCGAGCACCCCAGAAATCAAATGTCACACGAGGCTAAGTGAGGGGCTGGTAAAGGAGAGCTGGGCATCCTGACACACCGGGGAGCTGGAGAGGTGGCACGGGTCCCCAGGCACAGCAAGGGGGAACATCACCAGCTGGGTCTGGGGGCAGAGAGCCCCCTGCCTGCTCCTGGCAGCCCCAAAACACGGCCGCTGTGCAGGGATGCTCTGGGGAGGCCAAGGGAGCTGTGCACGGTGCCCAAGCAAGGCGGCTGCCTGCTTCCTGCTCTCCCCGCTTAGAAAAGATCAGTTCTCCTCTTGCTCAATCAGCTCCTCTGACGGCCCCCAGTGCAGCGATTACAAACTTGCTTCTTCCTTCAGTTCTGGGGGAAAAAGAAAAAACAAAACGCTGGGGCACAACAAAGAGAAAATTGTGCATGGAGCTGCAGGGATTTCTCTGTTTCTCTAGCAAAAGTGGGCTGCGTTAAAGGCAGCAGGAGTTTTCCCTTGCTGGAAGAGAGCTGGGGCAGTTTGGATACGCACACAGGGACGTGCAGCTTCCCAAGTCCCCTCTCCAAGCAGATGATGGGGAGAGAGCCCGTGCAGGAGCACCCCTGCCACGGGGCAGGCAGGAAAACGGAGCCATCTGCACCCTGCGACTCCCCCACTTGTCAAGCCAAGGCATTAACAAGGCCTTCGGTGCTTTTCTCTAGGAGAGGAGAAAATTGAGGGGAAGGAAGACCCTGAGGCATCCCTGGGGCTCTCCCACCCCAGCCCAGCACACCCTAGCAGAGGCTTCCTTAGGCTGAGGAGAGGGCAACTTGTGGTGCAAGCACTGCTGGTGTGAACGGGGCACTTGGAAACCCCTCTGCTCCCGAGATGAAAGCCTCCAAGTGCAGGAACAAGTCCGGGTTGTTTTTAAGTGCCAGGTCCACAGCTCGCATCCCAAGGCCGGGGCTGGTTTGCATTAACTCCACTAAGTGAGCAACGCCCTCGGCAGCTCGGGTCCGGGCGCTCGGAGCGATGTTTGTGCTCACGGCCCACGTCAGCGCCGAGCATCTCGCTAAGCAGGAGCGTTGGGATAAACACAGCTGCTCGGGGTATTTCAGGACTGAGCTATCTGCGCAGAAAAGCTGCTTTGCTGTCTGCCTGCGTGCAAAACGCTCCCTTTGGCACCCCGCGTCGCGCTCAGCACCGTGCATGGGGCCGTGGGATGAGAGAAAGGAGCGAGAGCTGGGAGAAGGGGAAGCTGAAGATGTCCCTGCTGCCATCCCCAGCAGCAGCGAGGGTCCCTGGCTGACACCCTGCAGGTATCTCTGAGGTTAAGGCTCAGCTCCTTGTCGCTGACCTGTCTCTGAAGCCCTGGTCCGGAGGCCAGCTCGTCTCCTCTGGTGCTGCTGACAAAGCTGCAACCAAGTCACACGCCAGCCAGTAATGAGCCGTAACCGAACCAGAGCCCTGGTTTAATGCCAAATCACCAGGCAAGCGGGATGACACAGAGGAGGAAAATTATAATGCCTTCTGGGGAGCACTGGGATGGGATGAGGCTTCCTTCCACCTGCCCTTCCCTCAGGGTGACTGTGTGCGTGAGCCGGGCCAGCCACGTGGCTGCAGGCTGGCCGATAGCCCCGCAGACACGGCACCCACCTCAGTGCACGTGGCATCTTCCTGCAAACCCATGGGATTCACCCGCCTCGAGCCTCCGTGGAGCAGGGCTTCTCAGAGCAGAAGTGAGGGGAAACATCACCACCCATGTGGCTGCGACCCTAAAGGTCCCCTCCGTCCTGATGGAGGGCGATGATGCACTCGTGGGGTCTGTCCTCCACCTGCCCCCTGCTCACACCGCATCCTGGGGGCTCACCAGGAGCCAAAAGGGAGCTGGGGCAGAGCTTCCCCCCCTTGGAGCCGACAGATGTAGGGCTGAGCTTACACGGGAGGTCTGTCCCCGAGGAGCTCATCAAACAGGCACTGGAGCCGCTGGCAGCAGCATTCGCATTGATTTTGTTGTTAACATTTCCCAGCAAGAGAGCGAAACGCGCTCAGAGGAAACCGTGATGGAGGATGTGTCACAGCCTGGCTGGCTCTGCACGGGGACAGACCCTGTCCCACCGCTGGGACACAGCCCCGGGGAGCTGGGGATGGGAGGAGACCCCTGTGCTGGAGCTCTGCCTTGTGCTGGGAGGGAAACTGAGGCAGGGGGTGCCTGGCCCCATCGCAGCGTGGACCAGCAGGTCCTCACGGCCCCAGAGGCGGGTGCTGATGCTGAAAGCAAAGCGGGACCCACAGGGTGAGGATAAGCACGAGGACAAGGACAAGGAGTGGCCATTTGAGGCACCCAACCCCGTCGCCCCAGCGCTCCCCATGCTGGCACTCGCTGAGCTCTGCGGCCAGGACACGGGGGTCACTGAGGCTGGAGTCGCTGCGCCTTGGCTGCCACCCTCGTTCCCTCGCTGAGCAGTAAGCCGCCAAGTTATTAAAACCCTCCCATAAAACTCATGGTGCTGGCACTTCCCAGCCTCCGTTTTTTTTTTCTTTTCCCATTGGTGGAATAATCATAAAACATCTGCTGCGCGGTTTCGATTAAACAAAGCAAAACATGTTTATGTTTTAAAGTAGCGAGAAAGTCAACCATGCTGGCACGAGCACGAGTGGAAAATTCCCCGTAACCTCCCCAGGAGCCGAGGGGACCCTGCCCTACTGCGTCCTGGCCAAGGGGCACCAGCCTGGCCCTGCCCCGCTGCCGACGTGACCCCAGTGCTCCCAGTCCCTGCTGCTCCTGGCAGGACGGGATTTCTGGGCACAGCTGTGTTGGCACAGGGTCCGGCCACTTTGCTAAACATCCCAGTGACCTAGGACATGTGCAAAGAGGGTTTAAACTCTTACAGGCTGATCTAGAAGGGGGTGAGGAGCTTCAGGAAGCCACCGATGGGGCTGTCCAAACCCCCCAGCCTTATTACCCTCAATGGGAAGGGGCGCACGGTCTGCCAGGTGTTCAGAGGTGCCTTGCTTCTGGAGAAGACCTTTCTTTGACCTCATCAGTGACAGGATCAAAGAATTCAGTGGATGAGAGCAGAGAAGAGACCTCCCTGGAGCCTTCCCTGGAGTTGGGAAGAACAAAGAAACCTAAACTCCTTTGTGAACACAGCAAGATTTTCCTCACCTGGGGCCGCCAACCAAACAGGCACGGAAGGGACACGAAACACCCTACAGCTCTGAACCCTTCCAAAACTTCCCCACCACGGCCCTACAGCAAGCTCTGGTGTTGCAGGTGAAGCTGGAGCCCACTTAGGCTAAGCTGGGGATGACGCCGGTGCCAGGGCCACTTTGGGGCTCTCCAGGTGCCGTTCGCAGGCAGCAGCAACGCCGCGGAGAGCCTCAGGTTACACTCACAGCCCGATCTGCCAGCGTTGCTCCTGGCCCACAGAAGGATTAGCTGACAGACTGGAGATAAGGATTTAGGCTTATTTTGCTCCTCTTTGGAAATAAATGACGCAGGAAATGTTCTGCTTGCAGGGAATGAAGCTGGCAGAAAAGCCCAGGGGATGGCTGGGTTGCTCAGACATCAGCAACCACGCAGGATCAGCGGCCACACAGGATCGCTTTCTG